ATGTGTGCGTGTTCTTTAGATCCTCAGATGGCTCTAGCACTTTCGTGACCACGGGCTGAGAGTCTTTTGCTAGATTTTGGCATTTAGCAACTGACATACGGTTTAATGTGAAGACAAACAACAACAACAACAACAACTGGGGTCTCACAGAAGTACTCTGCGAAATCTCTGTATGCACTGGGGTCTCACAGAACGTTTCGGTAGGGTACTGGGAGAATACAGAACCTTCTGTGAAATCTCTGTAGGGTACTGGGCGAGTACCGACTGTTCTGTGAAATATCTGTAGGGTGCTGGGAGAGCACCGAACAGTCTGTAAAATCTCGGTAGATACTGGGGAGAGTACCGAACTATCTGTGAAATCTCTGTAGGGTACTGGGTTCTGACAGATCTTATTGCAGTGATCTGTCGGTACTTACAGAGGGAAAATACCGCCGGTACCGATCTGTGAGTACCCTACAGAACGGACCTGTTAAAAAAAGTCCAATATTCATATTCACTCTCCCTTCTTCCCCTCGCTCCTCGACAAGCTTTTGCTTAGACATGGGTTTTGTGCCTGATCGTGGAAGACCCCTTCAATGTGGAACGATTCTTAGCTATTGTCGATATTTTCACTGCGTGCCTAACACAGACGATCAGGAGAGGTTCGGGTGATTGTCCATTACAATCATGGCTCCGGTTGGTTGTTCTTTTTCACTGTACGTCCGCAGACACATTCTGACAGCACTTCAGACAGCAGCTTTGTGCCCCGCCAGCTTCTTGTTCCATGCCTACCATGGTGTTTTTGTACAGACAGCACTTCAGACAGCAAGTATGCTGTAGTCGGCAATCATTCGTTTTGGTACAGAGTGGGACAGGTAGGGGGTGATGTTGCTGTAGTCGAACGGTGAGACGGACGTGTAGTTCAGTTTTGGGCACGCGTACGGTGCTGCAGGGATTATATATAGGTGTAGTAGTACCTCTTCGGGCTCTTGTACACCTTTTTCTTGCTACGTGTGCGTGTTCTTTAGATCCTCAGATGGCTCCAGCACTTTCGTGACCACGGGCCGAGAGTCTTTGCTAGATTTTGGCATTTAGCAACTGGCATACGGTTTAATGTGAAGTCAACAACAACAACAACATACTCCACCCACGATCCCTCTAAACAGCTTTTTTAACAAAACAAAAAGCGTAACGGGCCACACTTTTTCAAAAAAAAACTATTATCAAAACATCACTCGCCGTACAAATAACACAAACCCAAGAAAACAACGGGAGGACAGGCAGTTGTGGCAGATGCGATGCATCTCGGAGGTGCCCTGAGGNGGAGCTACGCTATTCTCAGGATTAAAGACAGGTACCCTAGTAATAACAGAAGGAAACTGCACGTGTCGACTAAGACTGTCACCCTGCACTCGACTTCGTTTAGGAGTGCTCTCTCTATCATTCTTCTTGCTTTCACCACTACTACCATCACTATTCTCATCGTCATTTTGGCAGCAACTTTTTGGCAGCTCTTCTTCTTGTCTCTCCGTCTTTTGTTGTGTGGGAGGTCCTCTGGCTCGAAGCTCTTGCTCTCTTCCACGCCATGATTCCCTTCTCGACTGCTGGCTTGGTCTCTGTGTTGTCCTCCTCTTCTTCCCTCTGTTCCTCCTCCTTCATCGTTGCCACTCGAATTTCCCTCATCGCCATCATGATGATCGTTTTCGTTTGTACTACTATCGAAATCCCAACCTATTGGCCGGGGTG